CCTCGTGGAGGTCGATATGAAGCAACATTCGGCCGTCTTGGAGCCCTCGTGGGCCGTCTTGGGGCTCTCTTCGGCCGTCATGGAAACCTTGGGCCGTCTAGGGGCTCTCCTGGCGCACTCTTGAACCCGCGTGGGAGCATCTTGGGCCCTCCGGCGCCGTCTTGAGGTCCTCTAGGGCCGTCTTGGTGCCCTCTGGGCCGCGTAAAGCCTCTCAGGCCGTCTTGGAACGATGTTTGAAACCCCTTCGGCCGCCTCGGGCCGTCGGAAGCCCGAGGCGAGAACCCTGAAAACTAGCATAAACCAAACAAAGATATAGTTGGCCTCCTTACGCCCGCGTGGAGGTCCTGTATAAGCCCTCTGGAACTGTCCTGAGCCCGTCTGGGTCGTCTTGGGGGGCTTTGGCCGTCCTGGGGCTCTTTTGGGAGCCTCTAGGGGCCTCCCTGGGGCTTTCTTGGAAGCCCCTTGGGACTCTCCAAGGCCGTTTGGGAGGTTTCTGTGGGCCGTCTAAGAGCTTCATGTGACATCCGAGAAGGATACTTAGTAGCTCGAGCAGTCATAGCCCCCCCTTCGAGAGCGACGCATGTATGTCCAAGTCTGAAACAACGGTGACGATGCTTCCCGTTACATGTCAAACGGCCCTGGTGCAGAAAAGCCAAGTCCCCAGATTCGGCCACACAACCAAAAACCACCCGGGCCGCTTTTATCCACCTTGCTCCAAAAGAACATTGATGCATATCAGTCACCTGACAATAAGGCAGCACGTGCGAGACCAGATCCCGGCAGCGCCACATATACGAGGTCAAAAGATTTACCAAGACAAAGCGAACCTTGTACTCGCGACACAGTCTCGCAATAAAAACAGCCACCCGCATGCGCACAGTACCAACGTGCACCGCCTCTCTGTCTTTGGCCCGCAACGATGGAAGCCCTTCTGGGTGAGCGGCGCCCCTGACAGGATAGCGGTTCCGAGCAAGCGAAAATGGCGAGCAAGGAAACGCCAGCATCACCGCTTCACCAGGCCACTCCCTAAATGCCGCCCAATCACTTTGAAAGAGCTGCACGCGTCTTGGTCTGGCCATCTTCTCAGGTCGAGACACACTGCATCGCGCCCAAACCTCATTGCACAGCCGGCAACCCCGCCGCCGCCAAAAAAACATCCAGCAGGTTGGGGGTCTTCTGCCGCAGTAAGTCCCGACTCACATGCCCCCGCGAGAGCCCCCTCGGCGGACGAACGGCGGCATCGGCGCGGGGCGGCCCAACAATAGCACATCCTGTAGCTGCCTTGCGGCCGTCACGCAATAAATCTCTGTCGCCTCCTGAAGACATTCCCAACTCTCGCTCAATCTGCCTGACTTCTCGTATCTCTTCACTGAGGCCAACGCGGCCCACCTTCCCCTCTTCTGGAACTCTTCCTGCGAGCGTCGCCCTGTTGCCCGATCCAGCGATGCTCCGATGTGCCGGCTTTGATAGGGGACGACATCGGCTCCGATGTTCAGAGCTGCTCGCCGGAAGAGGCCCAGAAACTGAGGGTAGCTCAAGCCCAGGAGGGGCCTAGTGGAGCCTGTGTCCTTCAGAGCGCGGAAGATATGGCCCATCCAAGGACATCGTCCTGAATCGCACGGAATCGCATCGTCTGCCGATCCCACTTTGCCCCGGGCCACTCCCGCTTCTGGAAACAGCCATACGACTCCTCCTCCTCCTCCTCCTCCTCATCCTCCTCCTCCTCCTCCTTCTCCTCCTCCTCCTCCCGAGCCTGAGGCCATCTCTGTTTTTGAAACGTCCGACGCACTCGCGGAGTGTGGGCAGCGGTGCCGTCGCTGTCGTGACTCGGCGTCAGCTGGCCGCGTCCATGTTTGGCGTAATTCACCATGTTATAAGTTAGTCGCGTTAGATGGCTCCCTTCGTGCACGTCCCAGGGGGGCTTCGATTCACATTGCTGGGCGGTGGGTCGACCCCTCCCACTGTATGAGACTGCACCAGGACCTCGGGTTGTGGTGGGATGTTATGCGACCAGCAGTTGCTTGGTTTGAGTTTGAAGTGCTCGGGGCAATCCACCTCGACCCGTCAGGAATATCCAAGGCGAGTCTCTCAAGGGAATTGGCCCAAGGCCTATACCAAGGCTGAAGCTGGTCGCAGGGCCAGTAAGGCCACTCGAGCCCAACGAGCGGTCGGTGCAAGCGTTGGTAGGACTTCGTCCTGGGACTCCGACTCCGACTCCCCCTCCGCTCCCCCCCCCTAGGGAGCCCACAAAGGACGTACGCGCCCAGCTATGTACATGAACACGGCCCCTTGATTCGCGAGACCGGCCGCGTTACACGAACATTTGTGCAGTGCGTGCTCTCGAAACCAGCGTGGGTTCATGTGCATGCACGTCCTTCTTTCGCTCCTGAGGCCCCCCCCCCCTCCCAGCCCAGCCCAACGCCGCCCTCGTGCTCTTCTGGCCACGCTGGCGCACGGTGCTGGGCACCCACCCCTGCACGGACCACCGCCCCATCCCCGCCGTAGTCGGTCTCGAAGACGGCGGTCGGGTTCGGCCTCGGCGTCGCCAGGACGGCCTCGTAGGGCCTGTCGCCCTGCGAGGTGCCCTCTCCCGGGAGCAGGGCGAGGAGGGCTCTCCGGACCAGACCTCGAATGCTGAAAGGGGGGGGGCTCGATTCTTGAAATAGGAACGGCGACTCTAAGCTCTGAAATGCAAAACACACCAACAGACACCAGAAAAAACAAACAACGACGACGACGACGACGACGACGACGACGACGACGACGACGACGACAACAACAACAACGACAACGACAACAACAACAACAACAACAACAACAACAACAACAACAACAACCACAACAACAACAACAACAACAACAGCAACAGCAGCAACAACAACAACAACAACGACAGCAACAACAGCAACAACAACCACAACAACAACAAACACAACAAAAACAACAAAAACAACAAAAACAACAACAACAACAACAACAACAACAACAACAACAACAAATTACAGCAACAACAATTACAGCAACAGCAGCAACAGCAGCAACAACAACCACAACAACCACAACAACAGCAACAACAGCAACGGCAACAGCAACAACAACGACAACGACAACGACAACGACAACGACCATCTTGCGAACACCGGATGTAACAAGCAACTGTGGCCTTCATGTGCTGTCCCCTCTCCCTCGCACTCGCCCGCGAAGTCATTGGACCAACCCCCTTTGGGGGGATTCGTTTCATACCAGCTCCTGGGAGAAGGATTCGGTACTCTCTATGCGCACCACATCGCCACGGCCGCCAAACGTGCTAACGCGCCCACGGGCCAAAGCGTCTCGGAGTAAATTGAGGAGGTATCGAGCGGGAGCCGTTGTCGTCGTAGCTGCCCACCCCCCTCCCCAACTTGAACGAATTGCGAGGAGGAGTCGAGCCAGACCGCAGTTCCTGAGCTTCGAAGCTTCTCTGGCCAGGGCCTCTCGAAGTAAATCGCGCAGAATTGTCGGGCGAAAGCTGCTGTCATCGCAGCGTGAATTGTGAGGATGTCAGGCCTCTCTGGCCAGAGCGTCTCGGAATAAATCGCGAGGAAGTGTCGAGCGGGAGCCGCTGTCGCCGTCGCTGGAATTCCACGAACTTGCATGAATTGCGAGGAAGTTTCGAGCCAGAGCGGCGTTCCTGGGTTTCGAGGCCTCTCTGGCCAGAGCGGCTCGGAATAAATCACAAGGAAGTGTCGAGCGAGAGCCGCTGTCGCCGTCGCTGAACTCCACGAACTTGCGTGAATTCCAAGGAGGTCTCGAGCCAGAGCGCTGTTCCTGGGCCTCGGGGCCTATCTCGCCAGGGCCCGTCGGAGTAAATTTTGAAGAGATATCGAGCGGGAGCCGCTGTCGCCGTCGCTGGAACTCCACGAGCTTGCGTGAATTCCAAGGAAGTCTCGAGCCAGAGCGCCGTTCCTGGGCTTCGAGGCCTCTCTGGCCAGAGCGGCTCGGAATAAATCACAAGGAAGTGTCGAGCGGGAGCCGCTGTCGCCGTCGCTGGAATTCCACGAACTTGCATGAATTGCGAGGAAGTTTCGAGCCAGAGCGCCGTTCCTGGGCTTCGAGGCCTCTCTGGCCAGAGCGGCTCGGAATAAATCACAAGGAAGTGTCGAGCGAGAGCCGCTGTCGCCGTCGCTGAACTCCACGAACTTGCGTGAATTCCAAGGAAGTCTCGAGCCAGAGCGCTGTTCCTGGGCCTCGGGGCCTATCTCGCCAGGGCCCGTCGGAGTAAATTTTGAAGAGATATCGAGCGGGAGCCGCTGTCGCCGTCGCTGGAACTCCACGAGCTTGCGTGGATTCCAAGGAAGTCTCGAGCCAGAGCGCTCTTCCTGGGCCTCGAGGCCTCTCTGGCCAGGGCCCGTTGAAGTAAATTTCGAAGAAGTATCGAGCGGGAGCCGTTGTCGTCGTAACCGGGCCCACAAAGGCACACATACACAATCACGCCCCCGCTCGAGCGGGAGCCTCGCTTTCACAGAAAATGAGGCCGGCGTCGAGGCGAGAGCGCCCAGGCAACTTTCCGGAGATCAACAACAATTATTCTCTAGAATTGAATATTCAACGACAACAACGGCAGCAGCAGCAACAACAACAACACCAACAACAACAACAACAACAACAACAACAACAACAACAATCATTTAAGACTGGGGACACTCCGTTCTCACCAGTGCCAGGGTTTTCATAGGAGGCGGGCAATACCCCCACTTTGTGGGGGGGCCGGTTCAAGCTCTACCAAGTTTCCAAACGACTCTTCGCCACCACCCACACCCAGCTTCCCGCCCTATGACGTTCGGACACTTCACTTCGTGGCCTGCGGACGACCTTGGCTACTACACTGGCGCATGGGTACAATGACTTGTTGTGGTAACATTTTGTGGAAGCTAGCTTAGTATACGACTTTTCCCCCTGCAATTGAAGATTTCGGCGTGCGCGCGCGAAGAAAAAACGAATGTGTCCCATATGGTATTATTTGACAGGGATGATGGCCCTGGCAGGCGCGCAACCTTTGTTGCAGAAGTTCGAAAAAGTTGCTCGCAAAAGCCCGTTTGACAGAAATGTTTAAAAAGTGTTGGGTTTCCTACGAATCCGCAAGAGCGCGCGGGATGAGATTTTGACATTTTTTTGTTGAAAAACCATTGGTTTTTTGATGTTTTTATGTTAAAATCGCTCCGAACACTAAGCTTTTGGAAGGATTTCGTCTTGCGCGCGCGAATGTCCACTTTACCTTATTTTTTGCAAGGGATTCTTGAAATTTGATTATATTAGAACAAGAAATGTCATTTTATAGTGTTTTTTGCAAGGGAAAACGGATTACAACAAAACAACCGGATCTGGATCACATCGTTTTACCTGAGGCTTCCTCACGAAAATGATGAAAATGTAGCTGCGGCCTAGGCGGCGCAGGGGGGGCGCGCACCAGGGGGCCCAACAATAATTATTCTTTAGAATAAATAATGTTCAACAACAACAACAACAACAACAACAACAACAACAACAACAACAACAAACAACAACAACAACAAACAACAAACACCACACCACACAACAAACAACAACAACAACAACAACAACAATTACTAGCACGTGGGGACACTCCGTTCTCACCAGTGCCAGGGTTTTCATAGGAGGCGGGCAATACCCCCACTTTGTGGGGGGGCCGGTTCAAGCTCTACCAAATTTCCAAACGACTCTTCGCCACCACCCACACCCAGCTTCCCGCCCTATGACGTTCGGACACTTCACTTCGTGGCATGCGGACGACCGTGGCTACTATTCAGGGCCCCGCGGCCGACGACGACGGCGTGCGCGCGCGAAGAAAAAACGAATGTGTCCCGCATGGTATTATTTGACAGGGATGATGGCCCTGGCAGGTGCGCAACCGTTGTTGCAGAAGTTCGAAAAAGTTGCTCGCAAAAGCCCGTTTGACAGAAATGTTTAAAAAGTGTTGGGTTTCCTACGAATCCGCAAGAGCGCGCGGGATGAAATTTCGACAATTTTTTTTGAAAAACCATTGGTTTTTTGATGTTTTTATGTTAAAATCGCTACGAACACTAAGGTTTTGGAAGGATTTCGTCTTGCGCGCGCGAATGTCCACTTTACCTTATTTTTTGCAAGGGATTCTTGAAGTTTGGTTATGTTAGAACAAGAAATGTCATTTATTGTTTTTTGCAAGGGAAAGCGGATTAAACAAAACAACCGGATCTGGATCACATCGTTTTACCTGAGGCTTCCTCACGAAAATGATGAAAATGTGGCTGCGGCCTAGGCGCGGCGGGGGGGGCGTGCACCAGGGGGCCCAACAATAATTATTCTTTAGAATTAATAATGTTCAACAACAACAACAACAACGACGACGATGATGATGACGACGACGACGACGACAATCAGTGAGTGCCCGTTAACGCGAATGCCACAAACCCTCGATACCCGCCCTACTCGTCTTCGATCGTACCCCTTTGGGGGGGTATACCTTTCTTCCCTGCAGGCCGGGCCCCGGCAAGCGGCGGGGCGGCCGCGGACCGTCGGCCTGGCCAGCGGCAGCGCTGATCGGCGGCAACCCGACCCCAAGAGGGACGGACAGGGGACCGACCACGACGGCGACGACGACGACGACGTCGACGACGGCGACGACGACGACGACGACGAGCGAAAGCGAGAGCGAGAGAGCGAACGACAGCAGGGCCACGAAGGGCACGAAGTAGGCCACGAAGGGCGACAGCGGGGACACGAATGGAATGCGTATGGGGCCACGAAGAGCGCGAACGAGCACGGGACGAAGGGCAGATAATGCGGGGCCACAGAAGGCAACGACGGGGCCACTGAGGGTAGCAACTGGGCCACGTAGGACAGCGAGGGGGCCACAAAGGGCGACAGCGGGGCCACGAAAGGCATGCACATGGGGCCACGACGGGCGCGAACGAGCGGAGGCCACGAAAGGCATGCGAATAGTTGGCCGCGGAGGGCAAAGAAGGGGCCACTGAGGGCAGCAACGGGGCCACGAAAGGCAGCGAGGAGGGCGACAGCGGGGCCACGAAGGGCATGCATATGGGGCTACGAAGGGCAGCGAGGGGGCCACGAGGGGCTGCAACGGGGCCACGAAGGGAAGCGAGAGGGCCACGAAGGGCTGCAACGGGGCCACGAAGGGCAGCGAGGGGGCAACGAAGGGCTGCAACGGGGCCGCGAAGGGCAGCGAGGGGGCCACGAAGGGCTGCAACGGGGCAACGAAGGGCAGCGAGATCCCGATTCTTAAATGATCTGTGAGGGAATCCTAAGCATGAGCGCGACTCCTGGGTGCCTGAATGTCGGGAGCGCGGCGATTGAGTAAATTGCTGGAAATTCCAACGCAAGGGTGGTAGGTTTGAGTAAATTGCAAACAAGTCTCCAGCGAGAGCGCGACTCGAGAGCGCCGAGAGAGCGATTCCTGAATAAATTGTAAGGAAGTCCCAAGGGAGAGCGCGATTTCTGAATAAGATGCGAGGAAGTCTCAGGGGGAAGCGGGGGTCCAAGATAAAATCTGAGGAAATATAAGGCGGGAGCCGTTGTTCTTGTAGCCCGGGGTTGAAAAATACAGTTTGAGGAGGCAAACTTTCCGTGAGAAAGAAAAGGCGCGAGAGCCGGGAGGGGCACTTCAACTGAAAAATACAATGTGCACACGAGGGGGGGGATCAATAATATTGATCCTTCACTAGTGAGAATTCAACAAACTGCCGCCCGCGTGCCGTGCCGCGCCGCGCCGAGCCGTGTAGCGAGTAGTTTAGCGCATGCAGTGCGAAAAAAAAATGCCGCCAGAATGCGGTGCGGTGCCATGCCGTGCTCGTGTGCCATGCCGTGCCGTGCCTCGCGTCTGGAAGGCGGACAAAAATGCCGACCGCATGCCGCGCCGTGCGGCGCCCAAGTGCCGTGCCGCGCCGTGCCCGTGCGGAGCTTCGTTTTCACACACGATGTGCCATGTCTGATTGCGTCGCTGGTTGGGGGCCCCCGTGCCGATGTAATTCGGCTTCTGGGGACCGGGCTCGAGACCATGCGCCGTCGAAAACGACCGGCCACAGAAAAAAATGCCCTGGGACGGGGTCGAGGGTCCTGATATCGGAGCCCGCGTCGTGAGCAAATCACGACGTCGGGGGGTTGGGCGCGAGGCTCTCTCGTTTAGTACTCCCCACGAGCCGTGCGCACATGGTGCCTGACATCGGCACCACGCGGCGGCTTGCCGACACAACCGCGCGGCCTCCAAGACAACTCCCCAAGATCAGACGGGAGAAGGTGCGCAAGACAGGACCGCGGCAGGCTCGCTCACTTGCTCGATACGGGTGTGCAGGATTCAAGGCCCCTTAAGCGGAGACGATGGGAAACCAGGACGCTCGCGAGCCCGAGTAAAGCTGCAACTGTGGATCGAGGCACCCTCCATTATTTGTTTCCTCCCGCTGGACGCGGCAGAATCCTGGTTTCCAATGTCCTGGTCTCTGGGGCCCTGAAAGGTACCCCGCGAACGCGCCCGGAAGGGCATGCCCCTCCACCTCCGGCCCCCCTCTGCCCCCCCCTCTGCCCCCCCCTCCAGATGGCAAAGGTGGACGTGATCCTCTCCCTCCTCCGATCACCTGGGCTGCCCTCGGTCGCAGATCGGCCGACTCGCTTGGGCAATCGAATGAGACCATCCGTGGACGAGGGAGGTCACCTGTGTGCAGGGGAGGCGCAGGGGGGGCGTTGACCCGGAGGGATATCGACCTGGAATCGGAGATGCATCGCAGATGGGTCGACGATATCTAGCCCCCCGGTAGCAGATAGGAACGTCACTGCGCAAGATGAGGTACCCAAGCTCAGATCGGGGACGAGTGGGCAATGGGGGTCGATGTTGCCCCCGAGCCAATTCCCTCCTTTCACACATCTTGACCCTGGGGGTGTGAGAAACCGAAGCGGCCCGAGCCGCGCACAGTCAAACGGCATGCATCATCGAATCGGTCGCGCCACCGTTGGCGGCTGCAACAGGGGCGGACAGCCGACGGGGGAACAGTACATGTTATCCTGGAGCTCCAGTCGCCCGGCTACTGACGACGCTCGAGAAAGAATACATGTCCGGCGCTTTCACGTCGCGATGACGTCCGCATTGGCTTTCCAGCCGTGGGAATCAACCGGTTTTCCGACGTTGCGGACCGTGAGGTATCGGGCGGTTCTGGGCCACTGGCGGCTTACAACCTTGAGCGTCCGCGCTGGGGTCGCCGCCGCGTCAACGCGGCGCAAACAGGAGCACGGAACATGTGAGATCGATGTGCCGAAATTCACGGGGGCGCAGACGCCCGCGCCCTCTGGGCGAAATTCACGGGGGGGAGACGCCCGCGCCCACTGGGGTCTCGGAACGCCTGAGACAACGCACAGTTGTCTTTGCTGCGGCCTGTTCGGCGCATTCCAGCTACGATGAAGGTGAGGTCGCGAGATGGCAAGAGACAAGCGCAAGCATCGCTCCTGCGAGTACGACGCGAGCGTGTTCACGTCGAACTCGTATCCTTCTACCTCTATGAAGGTCCAGCCTTGCCCAATGCCAGCGTCCTTGGAACACGCGCGTGTTACGTGCAATCGTGCATTGCAATGCAGCCAGCACGTGATTAACGCAAACGCGCTGAGCTCGTTCACCCAACAAACCAATTACTCCTGCCAGCAAAGCTCCCGCAAATGTGGAACAATGGTGCACTCATTTTCGGCAGCGAGGGCGAGTCCACTGATACTGGACCATTGCCAGCAGCCCAGCAGTAGGGAAGGAGGAGGGGACGGGCAAACTTGAGAATAGAGACAGCGCCTGCATCGTCCCGGGGTAGCCCTAAGCGGGGCCAAGCGAAAGGCGCTGGGGCGCCGGCCTCCGTCGAGGAGTGGAGATCATATTTTCGGCAGCTGAATCGGTACCCCGTGGCTGTATCGCTGTCGGTCGTCCTGTGGGAGGAGGGGTGGGGGGTAGGAGGATGCGAAGGCGCCTGACGAAGCCCGCAGGGGCGTCCAGCCACAGACCTCCGATGCCGCAACCTGTCCAACACCTGAGGCCCTCTCGTACGGATTTCGCGCCGCGGGTCGTTCTGTGCGGGCCCCAAGGCCTGGAGTGGGCCTCCCGAGGCCCGAACTCAAGAGCACGGCCGTCCTGATCGCCGGAGATGCCGGAGACCTGGGGCCAAACCTGATCACCAATGGCCCTGGCTGCGGCTCCCTCTCTGTGCACTTCGCGGCTCCGGACAGCAGCGATCGCTCGCGCGGTGCTCGTCGATAGCCGCACCCGTCGCCCTTCCTCCGCCTTCTGTGCACCTGTCTTTGGCACGCCCGGCGGAGGCCGCAAGAGGCCCAGGGAGGAGAAGGAGGGGGAGAAAGAGGGGATGCGGGGGAGAAGGAAGAGAAGGAAGCTGAAGAGGAGGAGGACGAGGGGGGGGAGGGAGAGGAGGAAGCGAGGGTGACAGGGGAGAGGGAGGAGAAAAGGGGGGGAAGGAGGGGTAGAAGAGAAGGTGGGGCAGTAGTGGCAGGCAAAAGCGCAGGCGGAGGCTGAGGATTTAGGAGGTGGAGGGGTGGGAGCTGGAGGTGGAGGAGGAGAGGAAGAGGAGGAGGGGAGGAGGCTGCTGCCAATGGAGCAGCATTCATACTCGAACACACAGAAATGAATAAGGTGGCGCACCTGCCGTCGAGTTGGCGGCTCCCTGAAATCAACTTCCTGGCCTATGTTGCATCCCAGTCTATATGTTCCCAAGCAGGTGTTGTAAGTTTCGGCCAGTGCACTTGTGGAGCGAGGGCTCAGAAGCCCACCCGACTCTCAACGAGCAATATGCCAAACCTGGAGGCGACGATCCAAAGCCTGCCAGTCGCCTCAAAAAGTACCCGCCTCAATGTTGTAAACTAACTGGGCGTGCGTCATATTAACGTGCTCATTCCCAGAGTGTTTCGTGATTGGCGGGCTACTCGGTTGTTGACCCTTGTCCCATGTGTGGTTTGTGCCCCGGGACCCCGACTTGGAGGAGAATCCATGGTGTGCTTTCAGGCACGACGCCACTCGGTAAGAATGTGCACGTCGGAGTGTCGCTGCCGCCGCTCCGCCATCTACCTTGCTGCTGCTGCTTTACTCTCCCCCCCTCCCTCTTGCATGGCACTGTTGTGGACACCACGGACACAGGTTACGAGGACTAGGCTGTCCTGTGGCATGCAATAGTTCCAGCACCCAACTTAGAGCCATGGATGTTCTCTTTTCCTTCCAACGCTGCGGTTGGAGTCCGCGCGAGGGGGAGCCCGAAAAGCGGCCGGTTCCCCTCACAGAACCACGACCTCGCAACTTATGGGGATGCCCTGGGACACTAGAAATACAACAGAGCGCCCCCGAGACAACAATCCCTACTGAACTACTGCGCGTTCGCGCTCCCGAGGCCACGACCCCTCGCAAGTTACGGCGCGCTGGCGTTCCCGAAACCACCGATTTTGCGCCCCCGAGGCCAGCCCCTCTCAAATTGCGATGCGCTCGCGCCCGCGAGGCCACGATCCCTCGCAACCTACGGCATGTTTGCGCCCCCGAGACCACAAACCCATCCCACGGAGGCTGCCCCAAAGCGAGTCCCGCCTCCATACAGCAAAACACTAAGACGTTCTGGATTGCCAAAAGTATTCGGGGAGCGCGTTTCGACTCCCCGTCCTTTGATGTGAGTTCGGCCCTGGGCAATTACGGTAAGTTTGCGCCCCCGAGGCTGCATCCCCTTTCAGGTTACAGCGCATTCGCGCTCCCGATGCCACAACCACTTGTACATTGCAAAAGGTCCGCGCTCCCGAGGCCACAGTCTCTCGTCAATGAAAACGCGCTCGCGTTCCCGAAACCACAACCCCACGTATCCTCAGAAATAGCTTGGGGTGCACGCTCCCGAAGCCGCAAACCCTGGTGAATTATGATGGGAGCGCGCTCCCGAGGCCAGCACTCCTAACAACAAATCATAGGCGCGCGCAACCAGCCAGCCAGCAAACAGCCCAAATCAACTGCCAACCATAAACTTAGACAGGAAGTCAATCAGCCGAGCTGCGAGCCAGACAACCGACTAGAAAACCGACCATCATACCGATCAAACGTGGCCATGCAAGCAATGATGGCGGCGAAGGGCGAGCCCTTCAAATAAGTACAGTTTCATGTCCTTTCCGTTCCATCGGCACTGAGGTCACCTCAACCACAGTGGCGATATCCCTAGCACCTGTGCAAGTCTGACTGGTGTTGAATATGATTGATCGTTGGCAAGGACACGTCCGTAGCTTTGCCCCGATGCTCTGCTGCTGCTGACACTGCAACGTTGCAGTACTCTCCGACTGCGAAGATACTCGGTGCATGTTGGTTGACATACCCTTCTGTTGCACAAGCACACCTCGAGATGCCGTGCTCGGGACGGCGTCCTCCGTCGCCATCATCACAAGTATCACGACTAGCATAATCACGACCCGCATCACCATCATCATCATCATCATCACCAGCATCATCA